AAACATCCTTTTAAGATTGAACAATATAAAAAAACTTCGTGGTTATGCGGGTGTGATAAACAACATGCTTTGTTTTGTTTTCCTTGTTTAGTTTTTGCAAACAATGAAAATACTAAATCAGAAAGGACAAAAACGGGTGTTAGGGAATTATCTCATGTTAGGTAAGCATGATTTTGCATTATTTCTATAATTTAAACTTGATGTTTCTTTCTTACACTTTATTAATCGAGGAATTAATATTTTAAATTATAACGAGCCACCACTACCTTTAATTAAAAAAATCTAATTAAATATGGGGGATTTAAGGGGGGTTGAAATTAAAATTAAAAACAAAAAATCAAAAATGAAAAGCGATATCAACATTTTTAGTAAAAATCAAGCCCTATAAGAAGATGAGGTATTAATTGTGAAAACAATCTGGTAGAAAATGGGTAGTTAAGGGAGTCTGTTAAACTGCGAAAAGTATCATTTAGAATGCCTGGCATTATATATATATCTTTATTCTAGTTTGTATTTGTGTAATAGTATGTATTGTGATGGGACTGATCTCATAAAATAAACATTTAAAACATTTTAGTTTTTATTTTATTTAAAAGTTATTATTTTAAAAGGTATTTAAAAAATATATTTTTTATTTGACATGTGTGACAAAATGTGAAAATGATTAAATTTACAATAAAAACTGAAAAATGGTAGGTAAAGTTTCATATAATATTTTTTACACAAAAATCTACATAACCTTATATATATTTAAAAATAATCTCAAATTATGAAGAAAAGTTAGTTAACTAATAATGTTTATAGGTGGTTTTCAATGAATTAAAAACAAAACAAATATCACACTAACTAAAATTTTCATTTATTAATAGTTAAAGTGCTTGAAAATAGTATGATGTTGATAATAACTACATTTAATACAAACTCAAATAATAATAAAAACAGCGATATTGGCTCTTTTACAAAGTTTTGGGCCGAACTTACAAAAATGATCAAATTATTGGAAAAAGTGAACACCCAATTCAAATTACCACGAGCCGCCACTGCATATAAATTTGGTTAAGATGTGGCATCTGCACGTTTTTGAAGTCGGTTTTTTTAAATTTTTAATTATCCTGTTTTATAATCTGGAACGACGTAAATCTTGCTTTGATGTTATTTGTCACTCATGTTACAATATTTTGATTATTTTCACCATTTTTTTAAAAAAATCACTTCATTTTACATTGACTTACATAAAAAATTGACACCGCTGTCATTAGACATGCCAACTACAGTCAATTTCGCGAACTTTATAAAAAGAAGGACGGAAATTTGAAATTTGACCATTGCCGATTCGCCTCTTTCTCTTTAGTCCTCATAAATGTAATATATGCCAAATGGTACTATAATAATAGCAGTTACCTACGGTAATAGGTTAACAAAATTACTTAAGTAATTAAAAATATCCTCTTTAACGATAATGCACGAATTCATAAAGCAGCCACAGTTCAGCCCTTTCTCCATTACAGTGTAAATTGTTTGAGCTGAATCACCCGAAGCCTATTTCGGATTTAGCTTCGTCTGCTGTTTTTTTTTTATTAAATAAAGCGGGTCATTTTGCGAGCGGTCATATTGCCTCGCAAGTGCTCATTAATCAGAATCGGTTTAGCAAAAATGTGTTTTAAAACCAATTTTCAGCCATTAAATATGGAAAAAAAAAAACCTACATTTTTATTTCAAGGCACAAGATTATGTTTATTTTGAAAAACATGGATGATTAATCTATATAACTATCCATATCATTGATTACACCATTGCGCATTAAGATAGAATAAAGGATCACAACGTAGGCTTCTACCGGTGTATCAAGACACATAAAATATTCGTGGACTGTATTAATAAGAAAATTTGAAATACTTGTGTGATTCACAGGTCTAAATATGTAGGTACCTGGATTAAAAGACTATCTCTTGATGAACAGTTTTATTTAAAACCCGAATGGAATGAGTTGATTTAACATTTTAGATGATTTACTTATGAACATACACTTTTTACATTATAGGCAGTATTTCTCTAGGAAATTTATTACCTTTAGTCATGTTACTTGAGAAATTTTTTATGTAATATAGTGGCGGACACAGCGTCCCTTTTTATCATAGCAAACGCTTATGGTATCGTTGACTGTTTAAGAAGCAATGACGTGGACGAGTCAGGCGAGCGACCTTGAGACTAACGTAATGATTTTTTAAACCAATGAGGAATGGATGACGCTTGTGATGTATCAATTTGTCGGAGAACTTCGTTATCGGCCAAGATAGTGCAGATTACAGGGACAGGAGTAGCATGTAAATCAGGAATAAATCGCTGGGAAACAGTAACAAAGCCTACACAGAACACGAGGCTAATGGCCGTAGTAGTCGACACCGATGACACCAAATTAAAAAAAATGTTTAATGTATATTGGAAGCAATACAATAACTGTAATTTGTTGAATGTAATTCAACAGACCCTGTGTAACATGTCATCACACACGGACAGACATATGAATGGTATAAGGGGCGTTTGATTTGAAACTCGATCGAGCGAGCGTCGAGGAGACCGAGAAGTGATGACGTCACAATAGAGCATTGAATCAAATCAAATAAAACAGAGTAAAAAACATAACCTCGCTTTTTTGTGATTCTTGTTTCTGGTTTGTATGTTAGAATAGTGAGCAAAAAGTAAAGAAAATGGAAAAACTTTTAATAATGCAAAAAGTAAAGAAAATGGAAAAACTTTTAATAATAAGGGGTAATGGCCATGAAATGCAGCATTTACCACAAATGCCCGCTTCGCTCTCATACTCCATGACTGTGATTACTGGTGATTAGATCTGGACAGAAAAAATGTATTTTCCAAACACATATTTTTTGTTTTTTTTATGATGAATAATTTTAGCTATAAGACAAAAGCGGCTAAGTAATTTGTTGACTTCTTGTCTGGTCTTTAATTTTGAGATTCAAATTTGTTTGTAAGTTAATTAAAAAGAGATAGGTGGAGACGGAGACAAATTTCTCCCTCTTCTCGATCTTTCTGCACTGAGAACATCGAGCTCGCTCTATGTTCTCGCTCCAAAGCAAAACAAACACTTTAGGGATCTCTCGGAGTGTCAATTCAAACACTTTTGAAGCGCTCGGAGATCTCCGATGATCAAATCAAACGCACCAATAGTCTTAACAACACCCGTATCGGACGTGATCTGGTAAATCAAAAAAATTGAATGAAAATGGCTGTCCTTAGTGACTTTCATAACAACTTAAAATATCATTTTTGTCAAATGTGTCAGTGACATAATTTTAAGGTTACTTACTATTAAAGTTATTAATGTTAATAGAGAGATTGCAAATTTCTATAACGTCAGCCACTAATTGTGGCCACGTAATTAGAGGCACCAAAAACTATAAAGTCGCCACTAACTGCTGTCCTTAAATATCCACAATTAAGGATAGGTACAGTCTTTATTAAAGTCAGTTCTAGAATGTAAGTAATCTGCTCATGCTCAGACGTCTAAATAAGAGCGGCACTAATAGTGACTGACCTTAAGTGAACTTGCAATAACTAACTAATTTTAGCCAATTTTTGTCGTCAAGTTAGTCACGTGTGATACTGGTATTGTTATGTCCGCACATAAATGACCTATTTCTTCAGATGATTTATTACTTCTTGAATTGATCCAAGCATAATATGTAATTTTTAACAAATTAAACTAATAATAAGCGAACGAAGTTTAATTGCTTGCATAATGGGATTTTTTGTTTTAAGTTGAACGTAGATATTCACGGTAACCTCTATTATTGTTGAAATATTGCTTATTATTTCTGCTTGAATTACACCAGTTTGTTCCCTAATAATAGGGTCTCTTAATTATTGGTCATGCCCAAACATCAAATTTTTTAATGACCCCACAAACAGTAATCCACAAGGTTAAACCAAGGCGATCTTGGTGACCATGAATTTACAAAATGTCTTCTGAAATGTCGATTATGAAATAGTATATTGTTAAACGAACAAGGAACGATAGATAATCATTTGCTACGAGTATCATATGACTAGGAAATGAGCATTACTTTCGAGTGGAACACTAGGTATACTTTTTCTAAGGTTGTTGTCCTATTTTTAATTAGATTCTATAATTCATATAAAATTAAAATGACAGCTCTCCCTAGATAATTATTAAACATTTTGAGATTGCATGCAGGACACATAATTTTACTAAAATATTATTAGGGAATGACTATTCTATATTATCAGATAAGGAAATAAAATTACTTTGTGTTACCATATAAAAAAATTAAATTACACGTCTAAGAATGTAATTCATTTTTTAATGTCTTTAGAAAGTGTAGTTTTGTATTATAGACGTAGAAAAAAAATGATATCGTTTTTAGTAGAATAGTTCCAAGATAACAGTTTTATTTTCTATAGATCCAAATAAATTCCATACTTTTAAATAACCCTATTTTTGGAATGGACCGTTACAATATGAATTATTTTTTCGTTTTATTGTAAATAAATAATCTTTGACTATCTGATAAGATAAACTTTTTTCGTGAATTTAAGGTATTTATTAGTTTATTTAAGTACCTATAGACTTAGTAAATATCAACGACGATACCAAATACATTACATGTTTAATAAATAAAATGTTCCAGAGTGTAAAATGTCCAAGAAAATTCATTCTTTAATATACATTTATTTATTATTTTGGTTTTGTGATAGTCAAATACAAAAATATCCTTGTTCGAAAACTTTAACAATCGATATTTCAAATGGAAACAAACTTGATGATGGATTGATCCAACACGAAAATATAACTTTCAATAGACACCATTATTTTTTTGACAAGGGAAAAATATTGGGCTGTATTTGCAATATTAAGAAATGTATTCGGAAGTGCTGTAATACCGACGAAATATATTCTTCAAATATATGCATTGACAGAAAAGATGAAATTTTCAATTTTACTTTTTTTAATGGAATAGAACCTTCAAATGATAATGTAAATGATTTTGTTATTATATTTGGAAGTCAGTGTCCTGGCAGGCATTATTATTTAATAACACCGGATTCTAGCGATGATATTTTTTTACAAGAAAATGGATCGTTGATAAACAAGGCTTGGGAAACCATTTATAGCGTTGATAAATATTGTGTTGATCTTTTTAATAATGAAATGTCTGCTCTTATTTGCGAAAGTGACGAATTTGAAGAAGATGCAGTAAAATTAAAAATTAATGGAAGTGGTGAGTATTTTATTAAATTATTCTAAGAATGTTCATATGTATGAATAACCATTCCACAAAGAGAAAAACATTTATTGATGATTTTTTATTATAATCCTTGGTGGATATTTCATTGTTGCTAAATATCCGGTTGATTAAATATAATACAATATAATATTATTTTTTTTAATTGACATGTTTACGAAAAAGAGAAAATAATAATATATCCAAAATATGAATTGATAATTTTAACAACAAAAACCTTATTGTCCGAATTGTTTACAACCGCCCGATATGCAGTCTACATAATTATTCTCTGTTATTTTTGTAATATTTTATTTTCTAAACATTGATGCATTTTCATATTATTGTTGCAAGAAATTAATAGTAAAACCGAATAAAATTATTTGAACCTAAAATGAATTTTAACTGCAATACTACCTACAAAAATTATTATTAACTGAAAGATCAAATCGTGAATTTTAAATAAACACCTTTTTTTCATATTTATTTGGGTTAAAAAAAAAAATGTATTAATTTATTCTGATAAAAAATAAGCAAAATACATGTAATATAAAAATTAAGTAAATTAAAAATATATCCAAGAAAATTTTATACCGACATTCTTTACCCAATCAAGTAAAGTTATTTGTAATCGTTACTATGAAAACGGAATATTTCCAGAAATCTTTTTCATCCTTGATATCCTAAGCGTGATTACACTGAAAATCTTTCAGGTCCGTGAACTTAGCACCGCCAAATGCGAATATTTATAAAAATAATGGAAGAAGAGTCCAAGTAAACTTAAGTAAACTTAAGTAAACTTAAGTAAACTTAAGTAAACTTAAGTAAACTTAAGTAAACTTAAGTAAACTTAAGTAAACTTAAGTAAACTTAAGTAAACTTAAGTAAACTTAAGTAAACTTAAGTAAACTTAAGTAAACTTAAGTAAACTTAAGTAAACTTAAGTAAACTTAAGTAAACTTAAGTAAACTTAAGTAAACTTAAGTAAACTTAAGTAAACTTAAGTAAACTTAAGTAAACTTAAGTAAACTTAAGTAAACTTAAGTAAACTTAAGTAAACTTAAGTAAACTTAAGTAAACTTAAGTAAACTTAAGTAAATTTAAAGTAAACTTAAGTAAACTTAAGTAAACTTAAGTAAACTTAAGTAAGCTTAAGTAAACTTAAGTAAACTTAAGTCAACTTAAGTCAACTTAAGTAAACTTAAGTAAACTTAAGTAAACTTAAGTAAACTTAAGTAAACTTAAGTATAATTTTCTATATTTAATACCCAACTCTTCCAGTTTTTTCTTGATGTGTTCTTTCCACTTTAATTTTATATCTAGGTTCATGCCTAAGTATTTCGCCGAATTAGAATTTGGTATTTCAGTATTATTTAATGTCACTGGTAGGTATTCTACTGATCTTTTATTAGTTATATTAACCTAAACTTTTTGAGTTTAGTTGTCTATTCATAGATTTTATTAGTAGTATGTTAAATTTTTCTGGTCCATTCTTCCATTGTTTGACCAATGGCAGTGTCGTCCGAAAATCTGGCTACCTTCACGTTTTACGTTTGTGGTTTGTAAGAGGTAAAGAACAGGTGAAGAACCGGCCCCAGAACACTTCCTTGAGATACCTCTGCTTTAGTTTCTTTAAGCGTACAATATTTTTCTTCTTGTTTTACTCGTAAGATTATATCAGTCAAGTAAGATTTTAAGATGTCACAATACTGCCTAGGTAAAAGTTTATTTATTTTATATTCAAGACCTTCTAACCATATTTAATCGTAAGCCTGAACCACTTCTAAAAAGACAGATGCAGATCTTTTTTTTTTCTAGCGTTTTATCTATTTCATTCGTTATTCTGTGGACTTAATCAATAATTGTTCCTAAATCTAAATTGGTGGTCAGGTATTATATTTTTACTATCTATCAGTGTTTTCAATCTTTTTAGTAAAAGTTTTTCGAAAAGTTAAGATAACACTGGTAACAGGGATATAGGTCTATAGAACTTAACTTTATTTGGTGGTTTACAGGTTTGGGTATCATTATAATTTCAGCGACTTTCCAGATGCTACGTACATGCTCTAGTCAAAATACAACGTTTATTTTATTAGTGAGTTTATCTACAGCTTTTCTTGGTAATTGTTTTAGTATTTCATCTGGGTGTTTTCTTAAAATTGATATTTTCTTTGATTTTCTTAGCTACAGCTCTTCAGGCGTTATCCTTGGAATTTCTATTATATTTGTTTTCTCTTTTTTCAATAAATCGAGTCCTCCTTCTTCATTCAGCTAAACAATTTTTTCGAGATGATCTACGAAGATGTCAGTTTTTTTTTTTGGTGGCATAAGGACTATTGGACGTTTAAGTTTCCTAGTCGCTTGCCACAAAGAGTAATCAGTATTTTTATCGTTTGTCAATTGTCTAAGATATGTGTCTATTGATTCATTTTTAATAGTGATTATTTCTCGTTTTAGTTTTTGTGTTAGTCTAATGTCTTGGATTATAATATCATTATCACCGTTATCAAAGTTTTCTTCTATTTTAATAAAGTTTCCGGGTCTCGGCTTGCTGCCTTTTTGCAAACCTCTCTTTTTTCGTTTGAGAATGGAGAAAGTTTTTTCGCTGATCAGCTCAGCTAATAATACACTCACTAATTTACAAACGCACTTTATTGTGGAATTATTTCGATTATCTGTAATTATCTGTAATTACACTAAAACTTTTTTCGACGAGATATGACGAGGGAAATGCTATCAGAAGTTTTTGCACAATTCCCCACAGTCCAGGATATTTTTCGGGTATTTCTGTCTGCAGCCAAAATTTTTGATAACCTCTTTTAAACGTCACTTTCAGCTCCTCATTAGTGCTAAGCTTGAGTAGCTCCTCCTGTAATACCACATTCTCCACTTCCGTTTCATCAAATGGATTTATGATCCATGGTGGTATTTCCATCGACAGAAAATCTTCAAATCTGAATTTAAAATCTTCATGCAGGGCAATCAAATGTTGAACGTATGTCTGAATATTTTCAAGGCATTCTACCTGCGACAAGTTTGAAAACTGTGAAAATTCGCCCCGACCAATATTTTACTTCATAAATTTCAATTAACCAAGAAAATCTGAAATTACACTCTTTGTTTTTATTAAATTGAGGCTGTCCCCTTGTAATTGTAAATTGAGGTCATTAACTTTTTTGAACAAGTCTGTCAAATACGCGATGTCTGCTTTAAAATTGATCAGGTTTTTTTTTTAAATCAGGATCTTTACTTTCCAAAAATTCTAAAACTGAGTCAAAATGTAAATAAAATCTTGATAAACATGCACCTTTCGACAACTAGCGTACTTCGGTATGTAACAGCAATCGTTGAAAGTCCTTATCATTTTCATCGCACAATTGTGCAAATAAACGCGTATTCAATGCATTGCTTCTTATTTTGTTAACTGCATTAATCACAAATTGAAGCGATTGATGCAATCTATCACTCAAATTTTTCGCTACTAGATGTTGTCGGTGGATAACACAGTGAATCGCAATTACTTCTGGTATAATTCTTTTAAGATGACTTATAAAACCACGATATCGCCCGACCATGGCAGGAGCTCCATCTTTTGCCACCGCAATAACGATTGTGAATGGAATCGATTTTTCTTTAAAAAAATTATCCAAAACATTAAATATTGATTCACCTGTAGTGTCCGTCTTCAAAGTTTTCGCGAATAGTAGCTCTTCATGAATTTCTTCGCCCTTAACAAATCGAATTTATGCCAATAGTAATGCTTCATTGCCAGGTAAAGTTGACTCGTCCAGTTTAATAGAAAAATGAGTTGTTCGTAGATAATCACACAAGAAACTTTCAACATCAGAGCTTATTTCATCAATACGTCTTTGTACAGTGTTGTTACTCAAAGAAATTCTTTTGAGTATGTCAAATGAAGATTTGTGTAGAACAGTTTTTAAAACTTCTTCAACAGCAGGTAAAATTATCTGTTCTCCAATGGTGTGCGTTTTTCCAGATTTTGCGATAAGTAATTGTAAGATGCCCGCAAGACATCATCGTTGCTTTCAGACGTTGAAGAGAACATACTGTACACGGTGGGTCTCTTTTCATATTTTTCCTTTAATGTTTGGAAATATTTCAAATCTTTACCTATTTTATCAGGATGCCACCTTCTTAGATGATCTTCCAGCTTTGATGGTTTCATAGAGTCATTGCTCAAAACTTGTCTGCCTTTGATGGAAGAAAACCAAATTTTAAATATTCAACACTGTACTGACGACACTTCTTAGATTCGGCCATGTTTTGTATCAATTATCTACCTGTAAATGTGTAAGTAAATAAATAAAAACAACTTTGTTTTAGTAATCTTAAGGCGATTCGAACTTAACAGGATGTGGCTATTTTAACATATTATGATTAATCAATTATTATAAATATTATGAAATAAACAAAGTTCCGGCTGCAAACTGTTTCTAATTATTAAAAGTAATAAATCGTTAAGATCCATAATAGAGTTTTATGAAAACGGCTGAACTTATTTTAATGTGATCTAAAATTATTATTTCATTTATTATATTTTAATATAATTTTGTAAATTCTATAGAAACTTTTAAACAATACCTTGATATCAAAACTCCGCAATAATTAAATGAATTTGATAGGCAATAAAAATAAAGTAGGGACGATAAGTTCAATCTTTCTCGGCTTAAAACTATATGCATATAATAAATAGGCAGGTAGGTACTCACTTTTCCGACACTGGCAATCACTAATATCGATTCGCTTTACTTTTCTTTTCGAAAGTCTGGAAACAAATTCAGTAACTGGCCAACACTAATATCGATTCACTTTTCTTTACGAAATTCCAGAAACAAATGAGTAACGATTATCCTTGACATTCGTATTTATATTGGTGAAGAATCAAACACGTTCATGCAAGATTGCAAGCACATACACCACAAGTCGTATTAATTTGCACGTCTGAACAAGCGTTGCGGACAGGACGGCGGCCGGCG